GCCTCCCAAGGAGCTGGGACTACAGGTGTGCCCATCATGCCTGGCTAATTTTTTTTTTTTTTAAGATGGAGTTTAGCCGGGTGCGGTGGCTCAAGCCTTGTAATCCCAGCACTTTGGGAGGTTGAGGCGGGTGGATCACGAGGTCAAGAGATCGAGACCATCCTGGTCAGCATGGTGAAACCCCGTCTCTACTAAAAATACAAAACATTAGCTGGGCATGGTGGCGCGTGCCTGTAATCCCAGCTACTCAGGAGGCTGAGGCAGGAGAATTGCCTGAACCCAGGAGGCGGAGGTTGCGGTGAGCCGAGATCGCGCCATTGCACTCCAGCCTGGGTAACATGAGTGAAACTCCGTCCCAAAAAAAAAAAAAAAGAAAAAAAAAAAAAAAAGATGGTCTTTCACCATGTTGCTCAGGCTGGCCTCAAACTCCTGACCTTGTGATCCACCTGCCTCGGCCTCCCAAAGCGCTGAAATTACAGACATGAGCCATCGCACCTAGTCGACTTGGCTAATTTTTAAAAAAATTATTTGTAGAGATGGGAGTCTTCGCAGGTTGCCCAGGGTGGCCTCGAACTCCTGGCTCAAGCGATCCTCCCGCCTTGGCCTACCAAAGTGCTGAGATTACAAGTGTGAGTGTTAAAGACAGAGGCTGCAGAGAGTCATGATCACACCACTGCACTCACCCTGGGCAATACGGAGAGACCCTGTCTCAAAAAAGAAAAACAAAAAGAAACTGATCTCATTAGAGAACCCCACCTTCATGAGCTCCTCTAACCCCAACATCTTCAAGGTTAAGCCCCCTCCAAATCCCATCCCACTGGGGGTTAGGGCTTCCACATACGAATTTTGGAGGAGACACATTTAGTCCACGGCACCTCCGATAGCGTCAGAGAGCCTCCTGCTCTGCGCCCCCCTCTTCCATACATCCCTCCCCACCCCCAGGACTCCTAATTCTGCAGCGTTCCAGCCACCGCACCAGGAGGGAACCCTGGCTCCAGCCCCTCCAGGCAGATCAAGCCCTGTTTCCGTATGTCTACGTGTGCTACGGTGGGCAGGGAGGGAGGGTGTTAAGGGCAGGGGCTGGCTGGGCAAGGTGGCTCAGGCCTGTAATCCCAGAACTTTGGGAGGCCAAGGTGGGTGGATCATGAGGTCAAGAGATCAAGACCATCCTGGCCAACATGGTGAAAACCTGTCTCTACTAAAAATACAAAATTAGCCGGGCGTGGTGGGGCACGCCTGTAATCCCAGCTACTTGGGAGGCTGAGGCAGGAGAATTGCTTGAAACCAGAAAACGGAAGTGGCCGTGAGCTGGGATCGCACCACTGCACTCCAGCCTGTCCACAGAGCAAGACTGCATCTCAAAAAAGAAGGCAGAGGCTAAGAATCACGGAGGCAAAATGTCAAAATGTGAAGGTGGCCCCACAAAACACACATGATGATAAATAACATATACCTTATGTATTATATATTAATATTATATTATATAATGATATATTTTATACATATATATTTTTGAGACACAGTCTGGCTCTTACTGCAATGGCATGATCTCCACTTATTGCAGCCTCTGCCTCACAGGTTCAAGAGATTCTCCTGCCTCAGCCTCCTGAGTTAGCTGGGATTACAGGTGCACACCACCACGCCTGGCTAATTTTTGTATTTTTAGTAGAGATGGGTTTTCACCATGTTGGCCAGGCTGGTCTCCAACTCCTGACCTCAGGTGATCGGCCCACCTCAGCATTGCCAAAGTGTGCGATACATTTTTTACAAAAACCTAAATTAATGTAAAAATGCCTATGGTGTACAGATTTTTAAAATTTTATTTTGTTTAAAGCCATGTGTGGTGGCTCATGCCTGTAATCCCAGCACTTTGGGAGGCCAAGGCGGGCAGATCGATTGGGGTCAGCAGTTTGAGACCAGCCTGGCCAACAAGGTGAAACCCCGTCTCTAGTAAAAATGCAAAAATTGGCCGGGCGCAGTGGCTCATGCCTGTATTCCTAACACTTTGGGAGGCAGAGGTGGGTGGATCACCTGAGGTCAGGAGTTCAAGACCAGCCTGGCCATCATGGTGAAACCCCATCTTTAAAAAAAAAAAAAAAGAAAAAGCAAACAGTTGGGTGTGGTGGTGGGTGCCTGTAATCCCAGCTACTGAGGAAGCTGAGGCAGGAGAATCACTTGAACCTGGGAGGCGGAGGTTGTAATGAGCAGAGATCTCACCACTGCACTCCAGCCTGGGTGCAGAACGTGACTCCATCTCAAAAAGAAAAAAAAGAAAAAAGAAAAAAAAAAAAGGACAGGATTTCTCACACCAATTATTCCTTTCACCTCAGGCTCCAAGATGGCCTGGCTGACACTGTTATTGATCCTGTCTTTTACTTTATTTTATTCATATTTATTTATTTATTTTTGAGACAGAGTCTTGCTCTGTCACCCAGGCTGAAGTGCAGTGGCGGGATCTCGGCTCTCCGCAACCTCCACCTCCTGGGTTCAAGAGATCCTCCTGCCTCAGCCTCCTGAGTAGCTGGGATTACAGGTATGCCCCACCACGCCCGGCTGATTTTTGTATTTTTAGTAGAGACGGGGTTTCACCATGTTGGCCAGGATGGTCTCAACCTCTTGACCTCGTGATCCACCTGCCTCGGCCTCCCAAAGTGCTGGGATGGCAAACAGAAGTCCGCTACCCAGCTAATGCAATACTTTTTAAAAATCAAAATCAGCCGGGCGGGGTGGCTCACACCTGTAATCCCAGCTGTAATCTGCAGTGAGCCGAGATCGCGCCATTGCACTCCAGCCTGGGCAACAAAAGGGAAACTCCATGTCAAAAAGTAAAAAATAAAGATAAAAATCAATGCCCCACGGGGAACAAAATATCAAAATTGTAAATAAAGACAGAATCCGATTTTGCACTTATCCCAGTCACCGCCCTGACCTTCCCTAACTCCACCTCATGTTGGCCATGTTGGTCAGGCTGGTCTTGAACTCCTGACCTCAGGTGATCCACCTGCCTCGGCCTCCCAAAGTGCTGGCATTACAGGCGTGAGCCACCGCACCCTGCCGATTTCATTTTATTTTTTTTTTTGGGGGGGGGCGGAGTTTCGCTCTTGTTACCCAGGCTGGAGTGCAATGGCGCGATCTCGGCTCACGGCAACCTCCGCCTCCTGGGTTCAGGCAATTCTCCTGCCTCAGCCTCCTGAGTAGCTGGGATTACAGGCACACGCCACCATGCCCAGCTAATTTTTGTATTTTTAATAGAGACGGGGTTTCACCGTGTTGACCAGGATGGTCTCGATCTCTTGACCTCGTGATCCACCCGCCTCGGCCTCCCAAAGTGCTGGGCTTACAGGCTTGAGCCACCGCGCCCGGCCTTCCGATTTCATTTTTAAATTGAAATTCTAAGATATAAATATACACGTTGCCCGCGTAAAACCTCGTATATATAAAATGACACAAAACGTTGTAACTGCCACCCTCCCGTTATCCCCTCCTGCCCGGTGCCCCGCCCGTCCGTCCCTCTCTTCCGGCGCTAAGGACGCAGGGACCACGCGCGGCCACCAGATGGCGCCGCCGCGCCTCGCAGCCCCGGTACGTTTCGCGCTCCAGCGGTGGGCGGCGCGGAGGAGGCGCGATGCGTCAGCCGGACCCGCGGGCCCGGGGGCCAGGGAGCCGGGGAAACCGAGCCGCAGGGCCGAGGCCAGACCCCAGGCTGGCGGGGGAGGGGACGCAGATGTGAGTCACCCAGGAGCCCCCGGTTGGCCGTGGGAGACGTTGTCACGCGGCGCCTGCCCGCCTCGCTCTCGAACAGTCTTCCCGGGGCGGCGGAGTCCTGCAGACGGCCGTGCCTGGCGCACACGCGTGGCCCCAAACACGAACTCGCCGGTGGCCTCGCCGGGCCTCAGTTTCTCCTTTTGCATAATGCACATAAGCACCACCCCTGCTTCCCAGGTCTTGAATTGAATCATCCATGAACTGGGAGGGGTGGGGTAGGGGAGCCAGGTCCGGGCCACGCGCTCCACGCAGGTCAGCGCCCACCCTGGAGTGAGATGTAAAAGTGGCCGCCACCCTTGCACGTGGGCCCGAAGCGGCGGCATGCACCCGGAGACTGCACCATTCTCTCTCCCACCCCGGCTTTCTCCCGGGCCCGGAGGCCTCCGCACCGGCAAAGGCTGGAACGCTAGGCAGCCGGCGGGGGCGGGGCCGCGCCACCTGCACCTCCCACGCGCGCCCCACCCTGAAACTCGCAGGGGGCGGCGAGGGGGCGCCCGGTTTCTTCCCCAGAGTGCCCCGGGCTTTGCAATCCCCCCCACTTTTGGGGACCTCGAGGAAGCCCCCCGCGACCCCCAGGTGACAGCTGATGTTTATTGGGCGCTGACTGTCAGCCTTATTTGAGGTCACGCTCTGCAAACCAGAGAGGCCGGCGCTGCAGCCCCATTACTCAGACCGGAACGTAGAGGCCGGGAGAAGCCAGATCACCCGGGGGCTGGGGTCGCAGCAGCCAGGAGAGACTGCGGTCGTCACCACCACCTGCGCGAGATCAGGCTGCAACCCGGGCCCCTTCCCCGTGCAGCCCCTCCAGCCCCAGCAGAACTTGGGAAAAGCACGGGTCCGGGACTCTCCGAGGACCGGGAGGGGATTCCAGGCCCCCCTCCCCCGAAAGTCCGGGCCGCCTCGCGCGCTGGAAATCCCGCGCGCGCCCCGAACCGCGGCTCGGCTGCCGGGAAATCAGGAGAGAAAAAAACTTCTGCTTTTTTTTTTTTTGTTTCTGGCATTCGCGGTCACCTACCAGTCCCCCGCACGCCCCCCTCCTGGCGCTCGCCCCCACGTGGGGCGCCCCCGCACGGCGCTCCGCCCCCTCCCCGCCGTCAGCCAACCGCAGAGCTCAGAGCGCTCGCCCCTACCAATAGGAGAGGGGGCGAATGATCACGGAGGCCACACCCCTTTCCCCGCCCCGCCCCCATCCCCGCCCGAATCTATAAAAGTGGGTGCCGGCGGCTCCTAGCTCAGATCGCCGAAGCGTCGGACTCCGGTTCGTCTCTGCAACTTCCTGGATTATTCTCGCCGAGGACTTTGCAATATTTTTTTTCGCCTTTTCTGGAAGGATTTCGCTGCTTCCCGAAGGTCTTGGACGAGCGCTCCGGCTCCGTGGGAAGGTTTTGGGCTCTCTGGCTCGGATTTTGCAGTTTCTCCCTGGGGACTGCCGGGGGGCCGCGTCCACTGTGGATTATAATTGCAACATGACGCTGGAAGAGCTCGTGGCGTGCGACAACGCGGCGCAGAAGTAAGTAGCCGCTGCCGCTGCAGCCTGAGGTCGGCCGGGCCGGGATGGGTCGGGTCGGGCCGGGCCGGGCCGGGAGCCGAACGCAGCACCCAGTGGTCCGCCCGTCACTGACTCCTCTCCCTTGGCCCCAGGATGCAGACGGTGACCGCCGCGGTGGAGGAGCTGCTGGTGGCCGCTCAGCGCCAGGACCGCCTCACAGTGGGAGTGTACGAGTCGGCCAAGTTGATGAATGTGTGAGTCAGACCCCCTCCCCGGGCTGGGCGCGGGTGGGACGGGGGACCCCCTCCCCTCCGCTCTGGACGCTTTCCACACGCCTGTATTGCACGGGGCTGGGACTTCCCCAAGTGCCCCCCGCTGTGGATTCGGGGCTCCTCTGCTGGTTTGTGGATTTTTGGGCTGCAGGATCCTGCTGCATCTGCCTGCCAGCGCCCCTCCCGCTGTGGGCCTGTCTCCTCCCGACCCTGTGCTTAGAACCATGTGCCCTCCCCTCCCCCCACCATCCTCGGCTTGCAGAGGCCATCACCCCCTGCACCCCTGCAGTTTCTCTTTTGCTCTCGCACGCTCCTTGTTTTGCAAACTCCTCCCTGCACGGTGGCCTCTCCCCGGTCCCCGGCTGACCCACCCCTTCCCTTTGGCCCCCCTCAGAGACCCGGACAGCGTGGTCCTGTGCCTCTTGGCCATTGACGAGGAGGAGGAGGATGACATCGCCCTGCAAATCCACTTCACACTCATCCAGTCCTTCTGCTGCGACAACGACATCAACATCGTGCGGGTGTCGGGCATGCAGCGCCTGGCACAGCTCCTGGGCGAGCCGGCCGAGACCCAGGGCACCACCGAGGCCCGGGACCTGCACTGCCTCCTGGTCACGGTGAGTCGGGCCTCTGCCCTACCCCGCCCTGCCGGGGCACCTGGGCCGGTGTTTGTCAACAAAGCCGGGCTGGCTGGTCCTGCACAGCTCAGCACTCAGCCATGCTTGGCATGTCCCGTGGGCAGCCGGGCTGGGCCTCCTCACCCAGGGAGCTATTTTGAGCCTGCCTGTTTTCCACAAACAGGGGCCCCGGGAGAGGGAGGCTCCCGCTAAACCCTTTCTTTCCCCCTCCTACAGAACCCTCACACGGACGCCTGGAAGAGCCACGGTTTGGTGGAGGTAGCCAGCTACTGCGAAGAAAGCCGAGGCAACAACCAGTGGGTCCCCTACATCTCGCTCCAGGAACGCTGAGGCCCTTCCCAGGAACAGAACCTGTGGAGTCGCTGCCAAAAACATAAAATAAAATAAATATTTGAATCCCCCTCCCCCCAGCACAACCCCCCAAAACAACCCATCCCACGAGACCATCGGGGGCAGAGTCGCTGGAGACTGAAGAGGAGGAGAAGGGGAGTGAGCGGCCGCCCTGGGGCGGAGACCCGGAAGCTGTGCCAGGGGCTGCGGCGGAGGAGAAGGGGGGACCCAGGCCAGCAGGAGACGGGACCCCGGAGCTCAGGCCTTGGGACGGAGCAGAAGCCGGAGTGGCAGGGCGCACTGCCGCCTTCCCCGTCGCGGAGGGTCCAGACTCCACTCGGGAGTGGGGTGACACTGACTGGACCCCCCACCCTCCTTGGGACTGGAGCTGGCGTCCAAGGACGAGAGACCTGGTTGAACGAGGGTCTGCACCCTCGGCGGGACCACACTTTGGGACTCGGGAGCTGGGGCTGAAGTTGCTCTGTACCCACGAACTCCCAGTTTGCAAATGACAGAGACAATCTATCTTGTTACTTGCACTTGTTACTGAACCACTGCGAGCGAGATGGGAAGCACAGATATCTATATTTTTACTTCTACTGTGATGGCCTTGTAATAAATTTCTAAAGCCTCTGGGTGCTTGTATGCTTTCGGCTTCCGAGAACAACTGGACCCCCGGCCCCTCCCCGGGAGTGCTTGGGGACACGCTTCACCCCCCTCCCCGCCAGCTCACCAGGAAGTGTTACTTAAGCCCCTGGTGGCAGCTCCGGGCTCCCGTGCAAAAACAGTACCTCTTCTCTCTGCAGCAGGCGACTCCAACAACCTATGCCTCTTTTTTTTCTCCTCCTCCTACCCTTGTAGCAATTAAGAGACCGGTTTATTACGAAACCTGGTGCCGTGCCACCGCTGTTACTGGCTGTGCAGGAGCCAACCCCCAGCTCTGGGCACAGATGGACGCATTTCGGTGGGAGGGGGTGCTGGCTGCAGCCCCTGCCTGCCCCGGCCGCCGCCGCAGCCCGAGGTCCGCAGCGGTCAAGGGGGCACTTGGGACCGCACAGCGCGGTGAGCTCAGGCCTGGCAGGAAGGGCGTCCTCCGAGGACTCCCCAGGGAGCGCCCCGCACCCACGACGCGCCTTCTCCATCTCGGGATAGGCCTCTCTTTTGCACTAAAGACAAAAACCTATTTTTTTTTTTTTTCCTTGCAAACTAAAATCAACAAGCAGAAAAATACCCCAGGAAGTCGCCTCCGGGCCAGCTGGGCTTGGCACAGCGCTGCGTTTTGCCTCTAAACCGAAACTGCGGGCCCTGGCCAGCCACCTCCTACTTCTCCCGAAGTTGCAGGCGAGGTGGTGACTCCCCCTGCCCCGGGCTGGGAGCTTGGCCCAGCGCTTCCCTGCTACGCCTCAGTCTTCCCGCCGCGGGTCTGCAGGGTGGGCGCGCCCTGCCCCGCCGCCTGGACGACCATGGCTCCCCGCTGCCCTGCAGCCCCAGGCCTGGGAACTAGGGGGAGACGGGTGGGGTGGTCCTGCCCGCAGGCCGCGACCTTTCCACGGAGCCTCACGTGGGCGGGCGCCGGAGGAAAACCCCAGCTGCTCCCTGGGAGTCACGGGGATGGGGGAGCCCCAGCGGGGGAGGGAGGGAGAGAAGGAGGGGGAAGTCCCAGAGGGAGAAGGGGGGAGGGGTGGGGATCCCACCTGGGGCTGGGAAGAGGAGAGAACTGAAGTGGGGAGAGGGGGTCCCAAGAAGGCAAGAGGGAATCCTCCACAGCCCTGAATGAGCAGGGAAACCCCGGAGGTGGGGGAAGGGGGAGGGGGGGTGGCAGAAGGAGTCCTGAAGGGGTTGGGGGAGGGGACAATAGAGGCGAAGAGGCCAGAATCCCGGGCGCTAGGGGGCTTGGAGGGGTGAGTTCTGGGGATATGAATTGATGGGAGGAGGTGGGAGGGGAACCCCGAGGATTTAGTGCACAGGGAGGGGAGGGGCGAGGGCCCCCCCCCCCGAGGGGGTGGGGGGGGGGGGGAAGGGGGGGGGGAGGAGAAGGGGGGGGGCAAAACCAAGGGGGCTCCAGGTGGGGAAAGACCAGGTGAGGCAAGGGTCGGCCCAGGCGCTTGAAGGAGTTCCGGCTTTTCCTTTTTTGAAACAGCCTCACCCCATCGCCCAGGCTGGAGTGCAGTGGTCGGTGACCACCTATGGGGCCGCCCGCCTGCCTACCCTAGGAGCTTCACCAACATGCAGTGGCTCAGACCTGTAATCCCAGCACTTTGCAGGCCCAGGTGGGCAGATCACCTGAGGTCAGGAGTTCGAGACCAGCCTGACCAACATGGAGAAACCCCGTCTCTACTAAAAATACAAAAAATTAGCCGGGTGGGGTGGCGCATGCCTGTAATCCCAGCTACTTGGGAGGCTGAGGCAGGAGAATCTCTTGAACC